TGTAAGCCTGTGTATGTGTGTGTGTATCTCTAAGAATGTACAAAAACAATATACACCCAGATGTTAAAAATATTTGCCTCTGGTAAGGCAGAAGACAAATGCTTCTTATTTGTTTCTTTCTGCTTACTTACCTTTATTTTTAAATAAAAAATAAATGAGTTTTTGGTAAATATATGAATTTAACTTTTCTCACTCTTAACTTTTCTGCCCAGGGTGGTGCTACTGCTTACTCATACTCCAAGGGCGTAATTTTCCTGTCATGTTGCCAAGTGGGAAACTAGAAGGATCCTGCCCTTTCATTCTTGGAAATGTTCCTCTGTTCTTCTGACTGTTGAACAGCAAAAGGGCACAGAGTAAACTGTCCAATCGTGTGCGTGCACAGCAGCATAGACAAAGAACACGGGGCTTAATTAAAACCGCAAGAAAAGTAGTGTTATTCACTACAATGGATTTAAAGTTGCAGGTACAATTTTTTTTCTTTCAAATAAAACATACCATTTCTGAGAATCTTTTAGTATCTATTCTTAAAAAAAAACACAGAAAACAAAAATAATTGCCCATTCCTTAACGGATACCATTTCCTGACTCAGGCTGGGGAAACAAGTTTCCCCAAAAATGTATATGCTTCCACATCTATCTTTCAGGCTGAAACTAGGAATGGAATTTCAAAATTATACAAAAGTGGAAAAATGAAATTCAAGTTTGAGACACTGTGTTCTGCCAAAGTGTCACTGCCTCTTGCTCCTTTGTTGTTCATTTTTTCCCTGTAGTCTCTCCCGGTACCAGCTGGAGAGATGTTAAAAAGCTCAGCCTTGGGTAATGGCAAGCAGGCAAGCAATCTTTGAATCTCATTATAGCTCAAAGTAAGAAGAAAAATTCCAGCTACATTTCTTCAGTGTTTCCTAAAAATTTCCACAGGTCCTGCTCAGGAAACCACTGCCTTTCCCACCTGGAAGTCTGCCCAGGAATCATAAGTAAATGCCTTCCAAATTGCAGGATCTATTTAATTTGTGCAGTTTCTATTCCAAAGGTTTCTATTAATTAAAGTCTTGTGTAAGTTTAATTGAGAAGCTAAGTTTCCCTATAAGAAAAAGGTCCTTCTCTTTTCCTTTTCATCTGAGTAAAAGGTCTGAAAATAACCATTCATCAAATGAGCAGCTTCCTAGCATGAGTGGCAGGACCTTGCAGAAGGAAGGCAGAAAGGTTGTACAGCCCCAGCGCCCTCTTTACTCCAGCCCTATGAGTAGTGTGACTTTGAACTTATATGCAAAATGGTGATGAGGGCACACACCAAGGTCATTCAGAGAGATATCATCCCTTCCCAGTAACACAGTGTGATGGGAAAGTATAAGAGACAATGCAAACCAGAACACACTCAAGATCCGGTCTTGAGTTCTGTTCATCTGTCTGAAATCAAGTTACACGTAACAAACTGGGACGGCTTACAGATTAAAAATAATTAAAATATGAATGAGTATGATACACTTTGGAAAAAAAAACAAGAATTCAATTACTGCGGTTCACATAGAGTAAATTCAGTATTGACATGTGAAACCTAGTGATATAATTCAAATCTGCTGTCCCCAATGTTCAGTCTGTAGGCCACTCCGTAAGTCAAGATAAATTAGAGTAAGGCAATAGCACAGATGAAAAGCAGTAAGGTTGACAAAGTCATATACAGTATCCATTTTTACTCCTTCTCCTCTCAAGCACAAGTGGTAGTGTCTCCTTGATGAGTGTCATGGGCTGAACTGTATCCCCTGAAATTCATGTATTGAATTCCTGTTCCCCAATACATCCGAATGGGGCAGTATTTGGAGATAAAGCCTTTGAAGAGGTGATTAAGTTAAAATGAGGCCTTTACGGTCCTAATCCAGTCTGACTGGTGTCCTTGTAAGAGGAAGCAAATTGGACAAAGAGACACCTAGGATGCTTTTGATTAGAGGAAAGACTTTGTAAGGACATAGGAAGAAGGTGCGCATGCTAAGGCACTTCAGTCACGTCCGACTCTGCGACCCTATGGGCCGTAGCCCTCTGGGCTCCTCTGTCTATAGGCTACTCTAGGCAAGAATACTGGAATGGGTTGTCGTGCCCTCCTCTGGGGGATCTGCCCCGGACCCAGGGATCAACCCATGTCTCTTAAGTCTCCTGCATTGGTAGGCGGGTTCTTTACCACTAGCACCACCTGGGAAGCCCTACAGGAAGAAGGTGACCATTAGCAAATCAAAGAGAGAGCTGCAGAAGAAACCACGCCTGCCAACCCCTTGAGCTTGGACTTTCAGCCACTAGCACTGCGGGAATAGAAATTTCTATTATTTAAGCCATCTGTTCTGTGGTATTTTGTTACAGAAGCCCTAGCAAATGAATATAACGAGAAACTAAAAAATTAAAGCTCCTAGCATGCATTCTCCCTCATTGTCAAGTATATAACTGCCAACCTCCAGAGATTCTGGAGCTCAGCTCCAGTCCTCTGTTTAGGGTACATATCCCATGCACTCTGGTTTTCAGTGTATGGACCATTGTAATTGTAATTATGATTGCAGTTCTGATAAACCTGGAAGTATTAACACAATGTCATTCTGAATAGGCCAGAGGTTAAGCCCCTGGATACTTAGGTATCTGTGGCAGAAGCACCTAATATTAGCAGGTTCCACTGAAACTGGTTCTAGTATCATTGTTTTTGATATGTCAATGGCTGGGATTTAGATAAATCAATAAATGCAGGAACATGTTTATGTTTTTGTTTAACATGTTACAAATGTAATGGAGGCAGAAGCTCCCAGGGCTCACTATCCCAACAGAAGCAGTGATGGGTGTGAGGCAGGGCCTATCATGTATGGCAAGCCCATGAAGTCATCCACAGTCACCAGTGAATGTGTTTGTAATCACAACTCGCAATCCACTGTCCACTAGGAACAAAGAGGGAGGAACCTGATACACTCCTCACTGGATTCTGGCCTGGAGCTTTCGACAGGCAGCATCCTCTTTCTCCTTTTCCTTGGGTGAGCCTCATGGATGGCTACACTTATTCAACTTCCCTTCAAGTTGCTGCTTCAAGCACCAACTCCAATTTACAGTAACCACTTTGGATTTTGATAACACCCATAATTTGAGACCCCCTGTCCTACTCCAAGTCTAAGTTTACCAAAAATTTAATAAGTCGAGTTTTAGTCATCATTAAAAAAAATAGATAAGGAGATGGTTGGATGCATCACTGACTCAATGGACATGGGTTTGAGCAAGGTCTGGGAGACTTGAAGGACAGGGAAGGATAGGGAAGCCTGGCATGCTGCAGTCCATGAGGTCACAAAGAGTCAGACACGAATGAGCAGCTGAACAACAACAACAAAATAGATAATACTGTCTACAACTGACCCTTTCCAGATCACTCATTCCTGCTTCCCAGTCCTCTTGGATCAAACTTCCCCACCCCATTATTCACTCTTAGATGTTTTCTCTACTTGTCTGTGAAGTAAGACCCCCCAACTCCAAACTCTGGAGAACATTCTAACGTAGGAGATATTTCTATTGTTATAAAACATACTCTTTGAAATAGAAACAAAAAATAATCTTTTATAGCCAATAGCAGAGGCTAAACGATGCCAAGTGTAGGAGGGGACGGAAGGAAGAAAGGAAGGAAGGAAGGGAGTGGGCTGAGACAGGTTTCTACCATGTACAGTCATCAGGTCATTCTTTAAATCACCACATACTGAAGAGAGGTTTAAATGACCCAGGTTTAAACCCCAGTTCTCAGTGATATTTATTCTTTCCTAATAAATACCTACCCCAGCTCTGCACATTATTCATTTGGCATATTACTATCTAGTTGGCTGGCTCAGCATCCCCACAAGGTCTAACTGGCATGCTCTACTAGTCTTTACCAGTAGCACCTGACCATGTAGAAATAAGCAGTTTCCTGTGGACCCTAAGCTGTCATTCTGTGGTCAAGGGAATGATCTGTCCGCACATCTAAAAGCTAGGTCCATCTAGCTCCTTAGACTCTGCAATCACACCACAGAATCAAACCTTGCCCTAAGAAGATGAACTCCCCAATCAGAAATGCCCATTCCTTCCTTGCTCAGGACAGAACTCAAACTCCTTAAAGCCCATTCACTAACACCCTCCTGTAAGGTTCCATGAGATATAATTGATCCAACCTCTAGACTCCCAGCCCTTAGGAGGAATTGCACCTCAACTGAATTCTGCCTCTAAAAAGTATTGGATGGCAAGATTCACATCTTGTAAAATTTTCCTGACTTCTAATTGTTTGTACATAGTGGGTAACTAATAAATGCTTATTGTGCATACAAGCTAAGTCGCTTCAGCTGTGTCCGACTCTTTGCCCCCTAAAGACTGTAGCCCACCAGGCTCCTCTGTACAGGGGATTCTCTAGGCAAGAATACTGAAGTGGGTTGCCATGCCCTCCTCCAGGGGATCTTCTCGACCCAGGGATCAAACCCATGTCTCTTTACATCTCTTGCATTGGCAGACGGGTTCTTTACTGCTAGCACCACCTGAGAAGCCCAATGTTTATTGTACTTAATGGTAAATAACTAAATACATGTATTTCATTAGTCAAATGTTAATGTTAAAAAAAATTACTTTAGGGATGCTATTTAGACCTGATTTAAAACTCTGAAATCTAAGGAGGTATTCTAACTTTCTTTAAAAATGGAGTCAGGAGAAGAAAATTATTTTTGCAGATAAGCTAAGGATGTGAGGGATTTATATCTTAAAGAACTACAATTTGTGTTGGAAAGGCCCTTAGAGATAATGACCTAATATTTCTCCTTCTAAATCTGAAATTTCAGACTGTGTTAGATACTGACTAGTTGGTGGGTGGAGAACATAGTGATCCTTAAATTACAAAACCACACCCCACACACTATCTTAAATGCCATTTTTTTTCCTGAACCTAGACAATTTCTGGTATTTAAAACTAGAAATTGTAAGAACAAGGAAAGTATACCCAGAATGAAGTCTAGATAAAAGGTGCTTACTCGGTGCCGCTTTCCACCATCTGTGTGAGGAGAGAGATGCCATCCAGATTTATAAACTCCTGGGCAAATGTGACGTCCCGGGAGAGACTGGCCAAGTCTTTCAGGGCCTCCAGCTTGGCGTCCATACTTGATGACTGGATTCGCTCATGGAGCTGCTGGGCGTTTTGAGCCTCACCAGAGAGAAAAAAAAAAACAAAAACAAAGAGTGTTCACAGAGGAAACTACCACAGATCAAAAAAAAAAAAATCACCACCTCATTGAGAAAGGAAGAAACAAAGGCCAAATGCACAAGTTTAGTTAAGTATTACAAACCAAGGGAGGTTTCCAACCATAATGACTTCACCTTCAGGCAATGCTTGTCAATTTCACAAGGAAAATCAGTTGCCTTTCTTTGACAGGACCCATATTCCCATCCCAAGGAGAAGCAAGAGCCGAAGAACAGTAAAACCCCGGAAATGGAGTGGGTATGGCAGTGTGAGGGGAAAAGGGGGAGGATGTTTACTTTTTAAGTAAAATTATTATCTACAAATGACAAAAAGCTATTTGCTTAATTAAGCAATTGTACAAATTTATACAGCATGTTCAGCCGTTCAGTCAATACTCTGAGTAATAACTGCCTACACAAAATGTTCAAAAGTGTCATTAGACACCCAAATAATCTTTCGGGGTTACTGAAAATCTTCCAGCACAACACAACGGGGCTTGTAAATTCCACTTTTCAACATGTGTTTCATGCGCATTAGTTATTTACAGCATGAATTTAAAACCAAGTAATTAAACAAGCAAACAAAAATACAAAAAATAATTTAAAACCAAATTAGCAGCTTTGCCTAGAATTAGAGTTCTCATTTTTAAGGCATTGGCACCTGGCTTCTACATGCAGGACAGAAATATACTGGAGGATCTGAATGTCTAGATAATAACATGTCTTCACATTATGTGGTTTTTAGGGACAAGCAGCCTAAGAAAGCAACATTGATACAGGGGTCTAATCGACAAAAACTCAGCCACATTGGGGAGGGGCCTCAAGGAGGTATGTTGGGCAGCAGGAACGGTTGGTGCAAAGGAAAAACAGAAGGAACAGGCCTGGGATGTCTGGAGGGACAGAAAGAGGCCAGTGTGCCTGAGGTTGGAGGGCAAAAGGGAGCGTGTAAGGAGGTGAGGACAGGCAAACAGACTGGGCCAGGTGGCCTAAGGAGGTCATAAGCAGAAGCAGCGGAACTGGAGGAATCCTGGGTGGTGATGATTTTCCCTGACTGATAGGATGAATTTAAACGTCTAGACAAATGTGTGGTACCTTTGGAGCTCTTAAAATAGCTTTTATATTCAAACACTAGAAGCAATGAATATATAAATGCACACATATTTGCATAAACATGACCCAAGGAAACAAATCAAGATATAGCCCACTGTTATTTATGAATTGTAATGTTCTGCATAGTTTTTTGTTGCAAGCTTCACTTTTCAAATTTTCCATGAGTCTGCAATATCTTTATATTGGGGGAAGTTTTACACTATTAGAAAATAAAATAGGCTTAGTTCTGATTTTCCAAACTGTTAGAACAACTGAGAAAGACTCTAATAGCTGTGTGGGTGATTGTATCAGAGAGTAAGTATTATTTTCCGGCATTGTCCTAGGATAGAAAACAAGTTTCATCTTGAGTCACTCAAATAGCACAGTGTGGCTGCCTAATGTCCTGGGATGAGAAAGTTCTGGGCCCAAGCTTAGAGGCAAACAGCCTCTGAGGGAGCACCAATGGACACAGAATAGGTATACACAGTAGATGTATGCTAAGTATTTACCACCTCTGTTCTTTAAGGTCCTAATTAAAGCTTTTCCCAAGGAATTTCCGAATGGTTCTGGGTCCATGATATCAATTAAGAAGTAATCAAAAAAGTCTATAGGTTCACAAGTTTCACAGATATTTTCAAATGTGCACTCAATATTGCCCAGCAATCCAACCAAGTTTTCCTGGAATGTCTGCTGCAAGCATACTAAGTCATCAGTCATGTCTGACTCTTTGTGACCCCATGGACTATAGCCTGCCAGGCTCCTCTGTACACAGGATTCTCCAGGCAAGAATACCGGAGTGGGTTACCAAATCCTCCTCCAAAGGATCTTGCCAACCCAGGAATTGAAGGTGTGTCTCTTAGTCTCCTGCAGTGGCAGGAGTTCCACTAGGAACACCTGGGAAGCTCCCCCCAAAATTACTCTTTCACACCTTTTCTTCTTTCCTTAAACTCCCTCATTTCCTGCTTCCCTCACACTGGTGATCTTGCCTCACATTTTATCGAGGAAATCAAAATAATCAGCCAGGAATTTCTGCATCTTCCTATTTCAAAAAGCACAGAGCTCCTTCAGCTTCCTGTTTGCAAGGACATGGCCCCAGGGCCTCTATGCTCATGCTCTGCTTCTTTCTGACTCTCTGCACCTGACCACTGTTTCCTACCCAAGGTCAATCATTCCCTCATCCCTGGCTCTAGAGCTGTCACCCTCTAACCTTCTAGGCGTTCTGCCCCTACTGCGTCCCCCTTTCTTTTGTACATCAGTCTCGTCTCCAACTGGCACTGCTGCCCTGCCTCCTAACCTGTCCCCTTGACACTCGCTGTCTGTTCTGGAGCAGCACCCAGAGTGATCCTGTCCCTTCTCTGCCTGAAGGCTTCCACTGGCTTCTCTCTGTGTGAAGCTCTTAGGGCGATGACAAGAAACAGAACTTAAGACATTCTACCATTTGTTTTAGGTTTCCCAGCTCAAGAGAGAGAAATTGGCTCAAAAAAAAAATCATTAACAGTCTTACTGTTAAGAATCTCTGACAACCTGAATCCACAGAATGACTGAGGTAACACTGTTTTTCTTTTTGCCACAGCAACTGGCCCCCCAAATCAGTGCAACAGGCTCTCTAACCCAGATGCTTCTAATATCAGTTCCCCAAATGAAAGAGGGCAGAAGGCAGGGTTGCGCTCAAAGCTGACAAAGCAACAGCAGATACTTGATAAGCAATTTTATTTAATTTGTCCACATGGGCCAAAATGAGGGATAAGAGGCAAGAAGAGTTCAGGTCATATATAAAAGGGCTCTTAAAAATCTGATAGTTTGGAATACTGGAATGGTTTTACCACGGAATGTTATGATTCATCTCTTGTATACTGTAGTGACATTATGAGACTTGTTTGCAGATTTCTTTAATTAAAAATAACATCAACAGGGACTCCCTGGTTGTCCAGTGGCTGAGTCTGTGATACCACCGCAAGAGGAACAGGTTTGATGCCTGATCAGGGAAGATCCCACATGCTTCAGGGTGCAGCCAAAATAAAATCAAATAACAGCAGGACATGGTACAGAAATATGTATTATCAGAAGTTATAAAGTGAAAAATAGAGTTAGCATAATGCTAGCAGTTTCTTGTGATATTCCTTAAGAACCATTTCTATTCTTTTATTGACATATACCTATTTTCCCTGTGCATCAGGGGGATGACTCTACACACCATGTTCTGCAACCTGCTTTGGCACTTAATAAAATTTTGAGGTGCCTCTGAGGAAGCACATGCCACATTCTTTTTCACATCTACACAGTATTCTATCACACGGTTATCACCTAATGAATTTAACTAGTCCCAACTGATAGACAGTTAATAGGTTCCAGCTTTTGATTATTGAAAGCAATGATGCATACAACCCTGATGGATGTGTTTGGTGTGTGTGCGTCTGTCTGTCTGTCTGTATGTGTGTATCCTACAGTGCTTTTGTGAGACTATCTATTGAATAAATTCCCAGCTGTAAAATTGTCAGAACAAAGACACATGCATTTTAAGCTTGGGTGAATACAGCTAAATTGCCCTCGAAAAAGGCTGTACCAATTTATACTCTTGACCCCACAGCATCTTTGTCTCATGCCTTGATTATCAAGAAGTGTAAATTTTCATCTCTTTTTTGAGAGGAAGATTGAGTTTCTTCTTTCACAGCTATAGCTATATAGCCATATATAAGTCTATATAGATCCTGCCTAGCAAGACAAGACAGATAAATATATAGATTTATAGACAGAGAGAAAGAGATCATTTTTGTTTATAGGTTTTGGACCATCTATTTTGGGGGCAGTTTATTTATTCACAAGGGATCCTGCAAATTGAGGAATTAAACCTCTATTTATTACTTACATTGCCAATAGTTTTTCTTAATTTGCTGTTTTTTTACTTTGTTTCTGGAATTTTTCCCAAACATGAAAGTTCTGTGGTATTGTTTTTATTTTTGGTAATCAAATTTATTAATCTTTTTCTTTGTAATTTCTGAGTTTTGTGTCCTACTTAGAACTTAGGATAGCTTTCCATACTCCAAAACTACAAATCTATTTACTATAAAAACCTTCCAAAACAAAAATTTCAGGAATGTGAAAACAATGGTCTGGAAACCTAGGCTGCTTCTACTAATAACAGGAACATTAGCCAAAATTTGTGTAAAACATGCCTCATGCAACATGTGAACTCAGGTTAGATTTCCATAGCTATTATTAATATTATCATGACAGATATAAGGGAATACTACTTAGCAGCATAATCTGAAGGTCTTCAAACCTTTAAATGCTCAAAAACTCACACATATTTACACACATTTCCAGGGTGGGTTCACGGCTATACTTTAATACTACTGGAGAGATGGATAAGACTATGACATCTAAAAAAGATATATATTTAAGATGGTCAGTAGAGAGATTGTCTGAAGATATGCAACATAGAGGAAGACCATATGCCAAGTGTTGGGCTTTTAAAAGAATAACTATGCAGTTTTGTTTTAATCTTCACTTATTAATGCCTTATTTTGTTAGGAATAATCCAGAAAGAACAGTTTTATAACAGAGTAAGACTGAAGATAAATCCATTAAGAAAAATGCCACTGATAGAGTGGACATGAGCTGCACATTACCTAAAACAAGAGTATGTGCATGCATGCATCTATGAGTGTGGGCGAGTGTGAGTACTGTGGCTACAGAGAGAGTTCAGCTGAGGTAGATGCAAAAACTTGTAAAAGTTAGCACAACACCATTTGCTGGTTTCTTTATGATACTCTAACACCTCCTTGCAAATTCAATAGAGACAGTTTTCAAAAATATATTTTTATTGTGTATATAAGAAGTGAAAGAGTTAGCATATGCTGACCCATATTTTTTCAGTCAAACACAAAATCTTTAAAAAGAAAATCTACCAGCAACAAACAAAGTTTAAAGATCCAATATGTCTTGCTTATAGAGTAATTCCCAATTCTAGACTCTGTGGCTACAGTCAAACCATAAAGTGCTTACTTAAACTGCAGGTGTCTGGACCCTATTCTTAGATATCATTATTCAGCTTCTCTTTTTAAAGAGAAGCTTTAGGCCCAGACATCAGCATTTTTAAAGTTCTACCAATGATTCAACTTTGGGGACCACTATTCTCTGGAAAATGTAAACAGTCTCTTGCAGGGGGACTCTATTGTAGAGTTTTTGCATGTCTCCCTTCACTGTGTTGGGCACATGCAGGGCACAAACTCCAGTGTCCCCAGTGAGGTCAAGTCACACCACAGTGTCAGCACTTTAGCTTTCTGGATGCTGAGAAACTTCACCCTGACAAACACCTAACCTTCTTGCAAGGAGTAGTTTGGCACTGCAGAAATTTTCTTCATGAAGCCAAGGCTTAGATTATTAAAAAAAAAAAAAAAAAAAACGGGTGCCTTTCTAATTCTGAGATGAAACAAAAGTAAGGTATACTCTTTCTGCCCATCAACCAGATGAATAATTTCAACAGGATATATAGGAACTACAAAACCCAAATGAAACCACGATCTCTAAAGGTCAAATTAACATGAATTCATGCTGACTGAAGTAAGGTCAGTGCTAAGGCAGACAAAAATGTCTTGGATCAACACAGAGCCACTGAAAAATGAGTGTGAATGATAATTTCCCTTAAGTGGGAAAGAAGGTACTGAAAGCCCAACTCCAGCAGCGCATTCTATTGAGCCCATCACTGTGTTCAGGCTTCAGATGTTACTGGGTAAAATGTTTAGGGGTTTGTAAGCCTCTCTAATGTAATTTTCAACAAGAAGAATTTGTGGTGGTTACAGTACCCACAATTTAATTTTAGCCAGATGCTTTTCCCAATTTTTTAAGTTTATTTTTAGCCTAGCACATGGCTTCAGTGGAAACTGAAAATGAGAGCTAGACACAGTTTTCATCACATATGCAGAGTGAAAATAGTAACACTTGGTGTATTTTGTGCAGATTATTTTTTAGGAAAGTGATAAAATGCACTGTGAAAAAAACATAGCTAAAATATGCTAATGTTACTACCCAAAGTTTCTATAAGCAAGTAAGAAAGATCAAGTTAAACAATACAGTTGGCTACAGTAATCTAAATACACTGTAGCATTTTGTTTAGCAGTTTTTATTTGGAAAACTTGAAAGGGTTTTTTTCTAGAATCAGCTGTCAGTGAAAGAATATGAGCAGCAAATATTTCTTAAGCTATATTTGATGAATTGTCGCAATAACTGACCAAACCTTAGGAAATGCTTAAACATTTTCACTCTTTCATACACAAACAGACACACCTACTAACTTTCAGTTCAGTTCATTTCAGTCACTCAGTTGTGTCTGACTCTTTGCGACCCCATGAATCATAGCACACCAGGCCTCCCTGTTCATCACCAATTCCTGGAGTCCACCCAAACCCATGTCCACTGAGTAAGTGATGCCATCCAGCCATCTCATCCTCTGTTGTCCCCTTCTCTTCCTGCCTTCAATCTTTCCCAGCATCAGGGTCTTTTCAAATGAGCCAGCTCTTCACATCAGGTGGCCAAAGTATTGGAGTTTCAGTTTCAGCATCAGTCCTTCCAATGAACACCCAGGACTGATCTCCTTTAGGATGGACTGGTTGGATCTCCTTGCAGTCCAAGAGACTCTCAAGAGTCTTCTCCAACACCACAGTTCAAAAGCATCAATTCTTCGGCGCTCAGCTTTCTTTATAGTCCAACTCTCACATCCATACATGACCACTGAAAAAACCATAGCCTTGACTTGACTAAACCATAGCCTTTGTTGACAAACTCATGTCTCTGCTTTTCAATATGCTGTCTAGGTTGGTCATATTTTCCTTCCAAGGAGTGTCTTTTAATTTCATGGCTGCAATCACCATCTGCAGTGATTTTGGAGCCCAGAAAAATAAAGTCAGCCACTGTTTCCACTGATTCTCCATCTATTTGCCATGAAGTGATGGGACCGGATGCCATGATCTTAGTTTTCTGAATGTTGAGCTTTAAGCCAACATTTTCATTCTCCTCTTTCACTTTCATCAAGAGGCTCTTTAGTTCTTCTTCACTTTTTGCCATAAGGGTGGTGTCATCTGCATATCTGAGGTTATTGATATTTCTCCTGGCAATCCTGATTCCAGCTTGTGCGTCCTCCAGTCCAACGTTTCTCATGATGTACTCTGCATATAAGTTTGACTTTCAAGGGAAGTTTAACAGGCTGTCTCTAGTTTTGTTCCCTTTGGTTGTTCAGATAGTCTTAGGTGGATCTGTGGGTAGGTAAGTAAAACCAATTCGCAGGATAGAGTTATCCTATCTATATTATGATAATTGTTGATATGACCACAAAATTCAAACTTTAAAGTGAATTTACTTGCACATAACCTAGAACAAAAACTTCCTTTTCTGTGCCTGGAAAATGAAGGGGGGCATTCCTGCTACTCCAGAATAGGGGAACACTCCAAAAATCTTTTGTTTCACATGAGTCACCTTGAAAAATTAATATCCCATAATCACGTATAACAAACTGCGTATCACAGAATCACAAACAAGCATCAACTTACCGGAGATGTGGTTAATCGAAGGATAGTGCCATTTTTTATTTCATTTCGATTCTGAAAAAAAAGAAACAAAAAAAAAAACCGAAAACACTGTAAATCCTCAAGTGGAAGCTTGGGAAAGAAGACCACAAAGGCAAATATCACCTAGCAGAGACTCTACATATTAATAATAAGCATTCATATGATTTGATCTATTCTCCCTCGAATAATTTTTAATTCTTTCTACAAAGAACTTTAAACTGGGTCCCAGATGTAGTAACTTCATTTACCCCTTCAATTCTTTTCTTTTTAATCTTTATTTTATTTTGGAGTATACTTGACTTATAGTGTTGTGATAGTTTCAGGTGTATATATGCATGCTGCTGCTGCTAAGTAGCTTCAGTCGTGTCCGACTCTGTGCGACCCCATAGACAGCAGCCTATAAGGCTCCTCTGTCCCTGGGATTCTCCAGGCATATATCCTTTCTTTTTCTGATTCTTTTCCTATATATGTTATTACAGAATATTGTATAGAGTTCCTTGTGCTATATAGTAGGTCCTTGCTGATTATCAATTTATATGTAGTAATGTATACACGTTAATCCTAAACTCCTAATTTATCCCTCCAATCCTTCCTTTCCCCTATGGTAACCATAAATTTGCTTTTGATGTTTGTGAGTCTATTTCTGTTCTGTTTCTTTATATCATCATGGACAGCATACACTAGAGAGGAAGTGAATATGAACCCAGAGAACAGAAATATGGGACACAAGGATAGCAATCAAAGTAAGCAATTTTAAAAGATTATTAAGAGGTGCCTAGAGGAAGGAGCCAAGATGGCGGAGGAATAGGACGGGGAGACCACTTTCTCTCCTACAAATTCATCGAAAGACCATTTGAACGCTGAGCAAATTGCACAAAACAACTTCTGATCGCTAGCAGAGGACATCAGGCGCCCAGAAAAGCAGCCCATTGTCTTCGAAGGGAGGTAGGACAAAATATAAAAGATAAAAGGGGAGTCAAAAGAGCTACGGACTGAGACCCGTCCCGGGAAGGGAGTCTTAATAGAGGAAGTTTCCAATCACCAGGAAACCCTCGCACTGGCGGGACTGGGGGAAGTTTTCGGCATTCTAACTGGGAGGAAAAATTAAACAAGGCCCACAGATTACGTGCCTAAAAGCAACTCCCAGCAGAAAAGTACCCCAGACGCCCGTACCCGCCAGCAACAAGCGGGGGCGGGACGGAGAGGAGCGGGCGGCATTGCTTAGGGCCCGAACACACTGCCGGTGGTTCGCAAAACAAAGGGACTGAGAAAGTCCAGAGAAGAGCCGGCCCATCCCCGCTGGAGGTTGGAGGCAGGGGGTAGGGGAAAAGGGCAAACTCAGCCCCTGAGAAGCCACCCCCTCCCACACTGCAAACAGGCCCCCGGTTCCTATCTAAAGACTTCCTGAGACCCGACTGGCGGCGCGCGCGCTGGGGCCGCGGAGGGAAAAAGCGCGCCGTACCCGGGGAGATTGCGCCCAAGCCTCTGGCTGCCTGGGCCGCTCGCCGCGGAGGGTAAAGGCGCGCCACCTCCGGGGAGAGTGCGCCCAAGCCTCTGGCTGCCTGGGCTGCCCGCCGCGGAGGGAAAAGGCGCGCCGCACCCAGGGAGAGTACGCCCAAGCCTCTGGCTGCCTGAACCGCTCAGGCCGGGGAAGGCACAAAACGCAGGCGCAACCGAATCTGCGCTTTTGTGGAGTACCCGAAAACTGGAACCGCACTCAACGCAGGGCCCGCTCCATGTGGAGCAGCCGGGAGCCTGAGCAGTGTAGACGGCAAAAGCACTGACACCCGTAAGCGGGGCAAACCCAGTGTGGCCTGAACACAGTCAGTGCTATCCACACAGAGCGGTATCTGTCTGCAGCGCCCCGCCCTCCCTGTAGCAGGACTGAACTGAACTAGAGAACCTAAATAAGAGATCACCTCCGCCCGCCTGTGTCAGGGCGGAAATTAGACACCGAAGAGACGGCAAACAGAAGCCAAATAAACAAAGGGAACCGCTTCAGAAAGGACTGGTGCAACAGACTAAAATCCCTGAAGGTAACACCGACTACACCAGAAGGGGCCTACAGATATCGAGAAGTGTAAGCTGGAAAGAGGAGCTATCTGAAATTGAACTGAACCTACGCTGACTGCAACAACTCCAGAGAAATTCCTAGATATATATATATATTTTTTTTTTTTTTAATTAAAAAAAAAATTTTTTTTTCTTTTTTATTTTTTTTAATTTTTTCTCTTTTATTTTCTTTTAAAATTCCCTATTACTCCCCCATTACTCCTCAACTTTCATTTTCATATATTTTTACGATTTTTTTAATTAGGGAAAAAAAATTTTTTCTTTTTTTTTCTTTTTTTTTCTTTTTCTTGTTTTTCTCTCCTATTTTAAAGTCCTCTAATACTCCTCTATTATTCCTTAATTTTCATTTTCATTTCACTATAACCTTGCCAAAAAAAAAAAAAGAGAGAGAGAGAGAAACCCTATTCTAAATCAAACTTCATATACATTTCTAAATTTTTTTTTTGTTTTTGTTTTTAAATATTGTATTTCAAAGAGTCTAACCTCTACACTAGATTTTTAATCTTTGTTTTTCAGTAGTAGGTGATATAAATTTTGATCATTTAAGAATCCAATATTCAGTTCCCATTTCTATTCAGGAGTGTGGTGATTACTCTCCCACTTTTGACTCTCTGTTTTCTACCTCGGAACACCTCTATTTCCTCCTTTCCCCTTCTCTTCCCAATCCAACTCTGTGAATCTTTGTGGGTGTCTGGGCTACGGAGAACACTTTGGGAACAGATAACTGTGTAGATCTGTCTCTCTCCTCTTGAGTCCCCTTTTTCTCCTCCTGATCACCTCTATCTCCTTCCTCCCTCTCCTATTCTTCATGTAACTCTGTGAACCTCTCTGGTTGTCTCTCACGGTGAAGAATCTTTTCACCATTAACCTAGAAGTTTTATTATCAGTGCTGTATAGTTGGAGAAGTCTTGAGACTATTGGAAGAACAAAACTGAAATCCAGAGGCAGGAGACTTAAGCCCAAATCTTGAGAAAACCAGAAAACTCCTGACTACACGGAACATTAAGGAATAAGAGACCATCCAAAAGCTTCCATACCTACACCAAAACCAACCACCACCCAAGAGCCAATAAGCTCCAGTACAAGACATACCACACAAATTCTTTAGCAACGCAGAAACATAGACCTGAGTGTCAACATACAGGCTCTCCAAAGTCACACCTAACACATAGATCCATCGCAAAACTCATTACTGGACACTCCATTGCACCCCAGAGAGAAGAAATCCAATTCCACGCACCAGAACGCTGACACAAGCTTCCCTAACCAGGAAACCTTGACAAACCAATCGTCCAACCCCACCCACTGGGTGAAACCTCCACAATAAAAAGGAACCTCAGACCACAAGAATACAGAAAGCCCACTCCAGACACAGCAATCTAAACAAGATGAAAAGGCAGAGAAATACCCAACAGCTAAAGGAACATGAAAAAAGCCCACCAAGTCAAACAAAAGAGGAGGAAATAGGGAATCTACCTGAAAAAGAATTTAGAATAATGATAATAAAAATGATCCAAAATCTTGAAAACAAAATGGAGTTACAAATAAATAGCCTGGAGACAAAGATTGAGAAGATGCAAGAAATGTTTAACAAGGACCTAGAAGAAATAAAAAAAAGTCAATTAAAAATTAATAATGAAATAAATGAGATCAAAAACACTCTGGAGGGAACCATGAGTAGAATAACAGAGACAGAAGATAGGATAAGTGAGTTAGAAGATAAAATGGTGGAAATAAATGAAGCAGAGAGGAAGAAAGAAAAAAGAATCAAAAGAAATGAGGACAACCTCAGGGACCTCTGGGACAATGTGAAACGCCCCAACATTCGAATCATAGGAGTCCCAGAAGGAGAAGACAAAAAGAAAGACCATGAGAAGATACTCGAGGAGATAATAGCTGAAAACTTCCCTAAAATGGGGAAGGAAATAGCCACCCAAGTCCAAGAAACCCAGAGAGTCCCAAACAGGATAAACCCAAGGCGAAACACCCCAAGACACATATTAATCAAATTAACAAAGATCAAACACAAAGAACAAATATGAAAAACAGCAAGGGAGAAACAACAAATAACACACAAAGGGATTCCCATAAGGATAACAGCTGATCTATCAATAGAAACCCTTCAGGCCAGAAGGGAATGGCAGGACATACTTAAAGTAATGAAAGAGAATAACCTACAACCTAGATTACTCTACCCAGCAAGGATCTCATTCAGATATGAAGGAGAACTCAAAAGCTTTACAGACAAGCAAAAGCTGAGAGAATTCAGCACCACCAAACCAGCTCTTCAACAAATATTAAAGGATCTTCTCTAGACAGGAAACACAGAAAGGTGGTATAAACGTGAACCCCAAACAACAAAATAAATGGCAACGGGACCATACCTATCAATAATTACCTTAAATGTAAATGGGTTGAATGCCCCAACCAAAAGACAAAGGCTGGCTGAATGGATAAAAAAGCAAGACCCCTATATATGCTGTCTACAAGAGACCCACCTCAAAGCAAGGGACACATACAGACTAAAAGTGAAGGGCTGGAAAAAAATATTCCACGCAAACGGAGACCAAAAGAAAGCAGGAGTCACAATACTCATATCAGATAAAATAGACTTTCAAATAAAGGCTGTGAAAAGAGACAAAGATGGACACTACATAATGATCAAAGGATCAATCCAAGAAGAAGATATAACAATTATAAATATATATGCACCCAACATAGGAGCACCGCAATATGTAAGGCAAACGCTAACGAGTATGAAAGAGGAGATTAATAGTAACACAATAATAGTAGGAGACTTTAATACCCCACTCACAACTATGGATAGATCAACTAAACAGAAAATGAACAAAGAAACACAAACTTTAAAGGACACAATGGACCAGCTAGACCTAATTGACATCTATAGGACGTTTCACCCCAAAACAATCAACTTCACCTTTTTCTCAAGTGCACACGGA